GAAGTATATATTTTATTGTTATATAATTGTTTATGAAAAATGCACGTATTTTATTTGATATTTTTAAATTCTCACTCTTACAATAATTTTAGGCCTATTGGATGTGATGCTGGATGGTGTTACAGGATGCCAAGAGGATTCGAAAAAAAGCATTAAGTTTTCTCTCTCTCAATTGATTAATTAGTTTTCATTTACATTCAAGTACATGTCTATTTAATAGTCAATTGATTGTGTTTATTTTTAAAGATGCAATTTCTACGATTTAATTTAAAATTGTGAATGTTTTAGTTATTTTTTAAATAAAGAATTTTATTTTAGCATTACGCCTTTAATACAAAAAGTGAATTTTTTATAACAATTCAAGATTTATGAAAATTTGGAGTGTTGCAGTTCATATTTCAAAGTGTGTGATAACTGTATCTTGTTTATTTTGTTATATATTGATGACATGTGAATTTTAAATAACCATGTGGATGGGATAAAAGAAACAAAGAAGTTTCTATCATCAACATTTAAGATGAAGAATCTTGGACGAATGGATAACATATTAGGCATCAAAGTTACAAAACTAGTGGGGGTTATTTTCTGAGTCAATCACATTATATAGAGAATGTGATAAATAAGTTCAATTACTTGAACATAAAAGAATTTAGAAAACCTTTTGATCCAAGATTTGAACTTGTGAAGAATGATGAAAGAGTGATTGTTCAATTGGAGTACATAAGTGCTATATGTATTTTTATGTATGCAATTAAATTCACATGACTAGATATAGCATTTATGATTAGTAAACTTAGTACGTACAAGTAATTCGAGCAAGGAACATTGGAAGATCATCATGAGAGATCTTGGTTATTTAAGGAAAACCAAAAACCTATCTATAATATTCTATATTTTCACCTGTATTAGAAAAATTTACCGATGCTAATTAGATATCTAGCGCTAGTGATAGTAAATCTATTTCGAGTTGGGTGTTTACTCTTGGAGGAGATACAATTTCTTTGAAAGTTTAAGAAACAAACATACATAACCCAGTCAACCAAGAAATTTGAAATTGTGACATTAGTTGACTCCGAGAAAGAGGCTGAGAGGTTTAAGTATTGGCATTGAAGAATACATTTTCGATATCTATTTTGTGTGATAGTCAATTGACATTATCAAAAGTATACAATGAGGTATACAATGTGATGTCTAGATATATGAGTATAAGGCATGAATGCGTAAGAAAATTAATCAATAATGAAATAATTGTCCTAAATTACGTCAAATCAAATGAAAATTTGTCAGATTCTTTTACTAAACCTTTTAATAGAGATTTAGTAATATCTACATCGAATAGGATGGGGTTGAAATTTCAAAAGTAAATTATTCACTAATGGCGGTAACCTTACCTTTCATTTACTAAAACAGTAATCTAGAGTTTCAAAGGATAACAACAGATCATTTAATAAGTGGATAGTTTAAGCATTATTATATTCGCATGAATCTTATCCTAAACTAATAGTGCTGGTTGTTACAGAAAGAAGGGTTGATGTTTAAAGCTCTGAATGAAGTTTAGTATGAGTTACAAGTACATCTAAAAGTAACAAAAATACTGAACAAACTTTGCTTAGATGAAATTTGAAAGTGGTGTGGCTTTAATAGAGAGTAAGCATTTATCTCTTAAAATTTCAATGAATAGGATAAACATAAGACCATAGTAGTGCTAAGAAAATTTGAGGAATTTGTGAAACACACAACACGTTTGTGTGTTTTCATTGGTATCATCACAAGAAATAATTGGTTCAAAGCTACCATGCTACTTAGAATTTTGATGATCATTGTGGAAGTTACACTAAGGTTGATTCAAATAGCAAGATTTTTAAACCTTATACATAAGTTTTGATATTTTGAATTTGTGTCAATATAATTTTAAACAATGGAGATTGTTGTATGCTGTTCAATGATTATATTGGTAAGGATAATTGGACAAATAGTTAACAATGGAAAAAAAAAATTTGATCATGATCGAAGAAATATGAAATTGGCGGAAAGGCAAATAAGCCCATTTGAGCGTGTATATGGATATTGGAAAAGCATATTGATTTTTGTTTATACCATGCGTTTGCACGGCCTATAACCATTCGAACAAATGATTATCAAAACTAGCCATTAGATCAATTTTTAATTTGTGGATAACGAATAAAAAACTTTAAATAAGTGATAATTTTCAATTACTAACAAGAGAACTCAACAATCAAAATCACATTTGAGTGCAATTATTTTATATTCCCTTACCTATTCAAACTTCATGTTGTTCATTAAGTTCTTGGAAGATATCATGAATATTAAGTGTTTTCTTGTTAAAAGGATTGTTTAATTCTACAACCATTTGCCTGTGAATCCCTTTAATAAGGACTTTAAAAAATCATAGAGGAGGCAAATATCATCCGATGAAAACGATCATGTGTTCTCTCCTTCTCCTATTTCTCATCTTTTCAAACATTCTTTGCATATTTTCTAATATTCTTCTCTTACACATCATCTTTATATAAATTTGACTCAAGCTCAGGTTTCGTCTGAAACAAAAACTTGAACTTTCAATAGAAATTGAATCTAATACACTATAAAGTCTATGCAAAAATGTCAAGAAAAGAATAGATTTTAGCAAAAACTTTGAAGATATATAAGTGTAAAATTGGAATCAAGATCTGAAACTGGTGAAGAAAAATCGCTAACATTTTTGCTTTCATTTTTAGAATGTCAAATTCCTTCCACAATGATTGAAGCTTTAAAGCAACAGAAATTTTCGTTTAAGATTTTCTGAATGTCTATGATTTTTTTTATAATTTGGATCATATTCAGAACTTCAAAATCCTTATCCTTGATGACATCCCAAATTAAAATTAGCTGCTCTAATATTAGCAATGTATTTCTTCAAAAATTAGCACTTGGTGAATAAGAATTCAAAGAAATTGAAACTACACCTTTGTGGGTTGTTGCTCACTGCTGGAACTCCTCTGTCACTGAAAGATTTGGGAAGCAAAATAATTGGTGGCGCAAGGTTCAAATTCTTAATCAAGTGACACAAATCCACAAAGAATTATTTCGAACTTTGTACTTCGGTACAAGAGTGATTATAACAATCTTTCATAATTTTCTTCCCCAGGTCAATCGTAATTGATACAACACCACAATCTGTTGTTCTTTATATAGGCCACAACGGGCATTTCTAAACGTGTTCTTCTAAATTATAAAATGAATCAAAGTATATTCAATTAAAACTTCATCATCTTCCAATATTAAAATTTCATCTTCCAAAGGTATCTTTTAATGATGTGGTCTTCTACACATTCTAATACCACTGGAAGATTGCAAATTATATTATGTTCAACTGAAAATGATTACAACTTTGTTCAAATAGGTTGTCAATAAAACACTTCATGTCCAATCCGATCCAATCCACTCCTTTACATATAGTTAGGACTATCACGTTTGAGTGATCTTATGAGATTGGTTATTTTATTTTATTTTTTTATTTTTTTGATCGGTATATATATATAAGCTTGGTTATTTTATTTATAAGCTAAATGTGATTCATTGCGCTTGTAACAACCTTAAGATTACACTATGCAGCCATCCGTGGTTTTCGTCGTTCACGTGAAATATTAATCAACATAAAATAATTTGGATTAGCAGAAAATATAAGTATTGATCAACATATTAAGTTTCTCTATTGAGCTGAACTTTTCTCCTTCTCCACCATTTAAGCTTAATCGAAATTCTAATGCTCTAATTATTTTCAAATGCATTGTGCTTGAAATGGTTTCTCCTTGTAACTAAGAACAGTAAAGGGCCTTGAAGTTTGGGCTGAGGTGGGAGAATAGAATCTACTTTAAAGTACAGTCTGAGCGCAATACCTCTTTCTCTTTTTACTGCTTTTTAGACAAAGCTGATTTATAGGGAGAATGTTCTGGTTAGTGCAAAATATGGCTGGGGAGTTGTTGGGGTAGGGTTTGTGATCATATTTTAGGGAGATTAAGAGATTGAATTATTGCCAAATCCAATTGGTCTGTGGATATCTCCAAAGCAATCTCTTCTCTTTATGTCAGAACCCCAACTGTCCTTTATGACCTACATTGACCGTATAATATACCCTACCAACCAACCAAAACAAAAGATGAAAATAACTATGAACCTATATGAATAAATATTATATAGTAAGAGAGGGAGATCATATCTTAAAAGTTTTAACGATACATCAAAATAAAAAAATAAATAAAAAAACGAAAAAAAAAAAAAAAGAAGAAGTGCTAGCTAGGTTCATGAATCCGATTCATTCTCCAGAAAAACCATAATTTCTCATTGCATCTCTCTCGTACCACACAACTATTTTCTTGTGTTAATGCTTGCAATATTTTGACATCAAGTCTATGCTGCAAGAGACCACAATCTTATTTCATTTCTTAGTAAAAGAGATTCCCTAGCCACAGAAAGCTGCAATCACTATGACAAATCCTTTCGCTCACTTATTCCTTTCTCATATCAGTTGCTCAAGCGCTGCCCATACATGCAGAACACAAAAACACTTGTTTACTTGCTAAGCCCCATTCCAAATTCTATGCAAATAAGCCTAAAACTCCCATCAATAATGCTACGGTGTCATAATTTTTGACATAATGTCACACGGTATTTCATCATTGAATTGTTTTAAGCATGGTCAATTTTTTCATCAATTCATTTGTTGTCACCTCAGATTATGTCACTGAATGTGTTAAATTTCTTAGTGACAAAATCCAAACCCCTATGCACATCAACGATCTATTCTCTCTCCACATTAACCTGGAAAGTCATGACCACATGACTAGGATCACCCTGGTCCCATTTTTTATGTAGCATATAGCAGTACTACATCATAGCCCTATATATGTATATATATTCATCTTAGATGCACATCTTTCCATACCATTTCAGCAAAAAGAATATAAAATAATAATTCCCTTTGGCTTCTTTTATCAATATAAATAAACAGTAATTATATTAATTTTTCGATCAACGTTAATACTACATGTATTATGTAAACAAAGTTGACACAAGTCACAACAATGCAATTTTTTTTATTTAAGAAAGTGGGTGTCAAGATTCTAATACTACAGTGGTTTCTATCAAAAATGATGTACTGTAAAGTAATCTAGCAAAGTTTGTAACTTTCATGTTGTCTGTTTATAGAGAATGTGGATGCCCTTATCGGAATATGAACAACATATAATTCTACAGGTTGCACAGGCTCCTTGTTCCACGTGAAGTGATTTGACACTAGTCTCTTGTAAAACTGTCGTGTAATTCTATGTCTGATGGAATCATTTCCCATAAGCATATTTCACTTTCATTCTTACGTCTCTAGTTCATTTTCTGCAGCTGTCATATGATTGTTATCAAACAAAAAATTTCAGAATTTATTAGGTAAAATGTGGAAAGAATATCAAGCAATTACTTGAATTCAATAAAATTTAATCATCTTCCAAGAATATAAAATAAGATTGTAGAAAAGACATACAACTGTGATAAAGAACGGCCTAGAGAATAGAGTTACCGTGTATACGATATGTGAATATGCTTGGCTCCTCATACGCCATCCGCGGAGGGCCATCGGTTCATCGGTGGGCTCTGCAAATGGCATACAGGGAGCCAGGCATATACGTATACTTGGACATCCACACTATACATAAATCCTACATATATACCTGCTGAAATGTTTACAATCTTATGAAAACCTAGTTATTGTGTCCATGCGATATGCAATTTTCATCACATAGAATGGCTACCAAGGTGAAGCGAGAAATTAATAGGGTTTTTCTTGGTACATATATTTGAGGATTCATGAAAGAGGAAGAGGTTTGGAGGATCAAAATTGGGTCAAATTAAAGAAGAAAGAAAAGCCTATAACCCATTTAATCCTTTTAAAAAGAAGCATCAAACCCTTTTGAAATCGCACAAACCAAGAAAGGGTATGGAAAGAATTAGGTTTGTGGGTTTGAAGCTGTATACAAGGGTGCCACTAAATATAGAAGTACATAGTGAGAAAGATGGAGGTGGGGGGTTTGGTGGGTTGAGGTTGGGGGGAAATCGGGTTGTAAAGCAAAGGTTGCTTTTCTCTTCTGAAGCTCCTTTGTCTTGGAGTGTTTCGACCTGGATTCCTCATGAAACTCTCTTCTTTATCTTTAGATTAATTAAAGAAAAGTGGGGGAAAAAAACAGATAAAGACCATTACCATATATAATTCTAATCACCTTTATCTTTTCTTGCGTTCTGTTTCTTTCTTTCTTTAATATAACCAACCATAAACAAAGGTAGTAGTTTTACTTTACTGATATACCTTTTGTTGCTTTCTAGTTTCTTGAGATTCAAATTCTTCACCAGTTTCTAGACTTCAAAATAAACATTTGCTGCACTGTGTACAACTAACTTCATCTATAGTACCTTCAGCTAACCACCCAATATTTTACATAAAAAGAATAAAGACTATATGAGGTATTAAGCTTTATAATAGTGGCTTTTCTATCTTAATTAACCACCAAATATCCAAAAATATGTTTAGAATTTTGAATATAGAGTTTGATAAAAGGAAATTAAACCCATGTGAATGAAGTGATTGTTACAGAGCAGATCAAAGCTGTCCAAGTTGACCTACTAAAGGAGATGGAACCATTCCTATAATCGAAACGTCAGGTCACTGTAGTAAAATGTACAAAATTTTACCTGACTAAAGGACGGCTAATCAAAACTTTACTTATTGATACCAAATTAATTTCTTGTCATTTCGGATAATAATAATAATCTCTTTGGTATCATTAACCATGCAAATATAAGTTAAAATATATATTATCTATTATAACATGTAATACTATGCAATAATATGGGCTAAAATTGTATAAGTGGTTAGCAGATTCTCTCTAGCTGATTTCAAATATATTGCCTCATATGAGGATAACAGTAATCAAGACTTTAGTATGATGTGTGTAGCCTTATTTGGTCTTCCTTTGAATGGTCAATATCTTACAAGAATCTTTTGAACTGTCAATAAATGTTCACCAATAGAATTCAAGCTAGGATTCATAGTAATACATCAAGCCAGTCAGGTAATATGATGACTTTTGTCTATATATACCATCTTAGCCTTAGCCTTGGTGATATTATCTCCCCCTAAATAACGCCATTTTTATTGATTGATATAATCACTTTTTATTTTTGTGAAAATTGACAAGAGGAAATGATGGGTGGAGACCCACAACGTTGTGAAAGAAAACCTCATATTTATCTTGCACAAAAAGCATGTTATAACTTAATTATGAAGCATTCTTTATTTGACAAAACATTCGAACAATGTTCATTCTTTCATTGTTTGAATATTAACTTCATCAAAAAGGTCTAACAAAACTCTCCTCATAGGATCAAAAAAGTAATCCAATTGAATGAGATTGTGAAAATATAATGCAACATATCCCTTTACGTCATTGTTGTATTCAACTACGATACTGGTCCTAATATTATATTTAATGACAAATTAATAAATTTATCATTATTTTGAGTATATATGTTTTTGTTGTAGAATGTCCTTTAAGCTTCAAAGCCTTGGACAATCAATGTTTGTATTAAATTTATTTTTAGTTAGCATATAATTCTATTAACATTGAAGTAAATTTTATGAAATCTTTATTTGATTTTATGCTTATGATTAGACTTGCCAATTCTATATTAATTGAACCTAGACATGTTGGAAAGCGTTCATTTATCTTTACATCAAGTAAATTTAATCTAAATTAATTTGAATAATAATTTTACACCAATTTGGGGATTGGATAGGTAATGCAGACAAAAAAATGAGAGGTTTTTGATTACAATTAGCATTCATGTATCCCTAAATAGATGCCCTAAATTGAAATTTCAAACTTCGTTATTTGTGCACCCTTTTTGACAAAACAAAATCCTTTTTTTTTTTTTTTTCTTTTATCTAGTTTGTCATCTGGGTAATTGCTACTTTGTGATTTATTCCTCAAACAAAAATGAATAATTAATTAAAAGAAAGTTTTATATTTACTAATTTAATTATAACTTATATTTACTCCTATATATTGAGATATAATCAAAAGGTTTGTTTTATTATTTTTTCACTTAGTTTTTGGTAATCATGATCACAATTTTATTTTTTATTTTTTTTGGTTTAAAATATGGGCTTTCTGAAAGAAAGAAAATGATAGTTTGTGTAAGATCAAACACGTATACATACAACAAAAAGACATGTTACATAACTCAAATATACAGCATTCTTTATTTTACTAAAGAATTGAGAATACTTCCTTGCACAAACCTCTAATGAGATAAATAAAATTTAGGGAAACACCACCCCATTCTTCAAAACTTACAGAAATTCCCCCGAGATTCACTTCTCTTAAAAGTAAATCAAAGCTATCAGGAAATGTAAACATATATTTTCCATTTTATAACTTTATACTATTTTGAATTGTTCATTCATTATATTTAAACTATATACTTTTTACTTTATTATTATTTAACATATACATTTCATACTTTTGATTAAACAAGATTATTTTAGTTAAATGTTAGATTTTAATTTGTCATGTAGGCATACATATATAATTAATTGTATAGAAGGCTATCTTAAAATTAAACTCAAAATTAAAGTGATCTAATAAAGAATTAAATTATTGAGTTTAGGGCATCTAAATAAAGTGCGGGCCGAATTATATGTGTAGAGACCACATTTGTTTAGAATTGTACTTCATGATAGGTGAAATACTTAAGGATATATATAGGGTTATGACTCCAATTCATATGTAATTCTCATTCTTTGTGTGATCCCATTAAAAAAAATAATAATAATAAATAATAATAATAATAATTGAAGAGGAAGATCCAAACAATCAACAATCAAGATTCGAGAAGAAAGAATTCAAGAATCAAGACTTGGATCAAGAAGCAAAACTAAGAATAAGAATTAAAGAATCAAATGAGGCAAAATTCAAGATTAAAAGTGAAGAAACCAAACATAAAACGATTGCAATAGATCTTCAAGATTCAAATTTCGAAATCAAGACTTAGTAATAAAGAATAATTCTCAATGAATTAAGGGGTGTTCTTTATTTAATAATTTTTTTGGTGATTTGACATAGAGATCCTGTCAATAAAAGAATTTAGGTTTTTAGAAGTTGTAAAGGTTTAAAATTTCATAAAAAATCAACAAGTGGTATCAAAGCTAATTCATGTTACACCATTGAGATTAAAAAAAGATTTTGAAGGTTGAAATTCATACTTTGGTTTTATAAAATTTTGGAATGTGAATTTCAAGCCCTACAATTTTTTGGGCGCTGCAGAGCTAGTATTCTATTTTTAACCTTTTTTTGGGATATAAAAGAGAAAAATAAAAATAAAAATAAAATATGAAGCAATCAAAATCAAATCTTGGTATTAAAGTTTCTTTAGATTACTAATTTTCTAAAATAAATTAATTGAAACAACATGTTACCAAAGTAATCTCTCCAGTCTAAATTGATTTACTTGGAATACTAGGAAGGTTGTGCGTAGCTAATTCATATGAGTATTGATCGGACCAAAGGAAGGTTAATATTTGGCCAAATTATTTGCATACATGTGGTAATAAATGTCACAGCTATAAAGTATTCTATTATGTGAACTTTGAGTCGATTCAAAGATAGACTACACCAAGAGTGCCACTTATAAGTTGGTATTTATGTCTAAAGACTAGATATTACTGTTGTACTCGGTATGTTATGAAGGGGTTTACCATTATTTGAAATTATTGATTATCCAATATGAATTCCCATGTAAACATGTTATTTAGGTCTAAGTTCTCTATTCGATTATCCATCCACTTCTACAATATCTGCAAACCAATCAATTAAATTTCTGTACTGAACCAAAGTTTAAGGGTTTGAAAGAGAACATTTGTATCGTTCTTGGTGGCATGATCTAGACATTGCGTTAAGGACTGAACGACCTATTTTTACGAATAAGATTTTCACTAATAAAATGGAACTCGAATTAGTGGGATCATCTAAAACGCAAAAGTCTTATGATCATGAAGTATGGAATTCTAGCCACATTCATGGACGTTGTGTCTGATAAGCTAACTATTGCCAAAGAGCTTTTTTGAGAAAAATGAAAAACGATTTGCAAAAGGCAATAAGGTCAAAATTAGCATGCCTTTTGGCGAACTTAGTTTTACTAAAGTATAAGAGTAAAGAAAGCATTATGGAGTACATCATAGAGATGTCTCATCTTGCTTCAAAACTATATAATTAAAGTTTGAGCTGTCTTTATGACCTGCTCATGCATTAGTCAATTTAGGGTTAGTTACAATTGTCAAAAGTGGAAGTGGACTCTTAATGAGCTCTCATTTCATATTTTGTGCAAAAAGAAGAATGGCTAAAGCAAGATAAAACTGATATTACTCACTTGACAAGTACCTCTGACGACAAGTTAAAGAATAAGAAAATTGCATCCCCTTCGGTTGAAAAAAGTAGCAAAAGCCTAAAAGAGATGAATCATCTAATTGTTACATCTGGGACACATGAAGAGAAATTGTACTAAACACCACCCTCGATATATAAAGCCAAGCACACTTCTCACTTTGGTCTGTTCTGAGATTAATTTAATTTCAATACTTAGACATACTTAGGGGATAAATTTTGGTATCACTATTCAAATGTGCGTGTCTATGCAGGGCTGCTTAGACTGCCTAAAGCTAAATGATACTGAAAGATTCATCTATATGTGGGCAATAGTGAATCAGTTAAAGTTGAGGTTTTAAGGACTTTTATGTTAGGAAAAATTGTAGCAGCGGTCCTAAACCTTTTCAATTTTTGCAGACTTCATCCTAACCTTCAATTTGTGTCAGCGAAAGTCCTTAACCTTTCAGAAATATACATTTGGAGTCCAAATGGATGAAATCCGTCCATTTGACCGTTAGTTGACCAATAAAATTGAATTTTAACCAATTTTGACTAATTTAAAAGGGTAAAAAGGTAACTTTGCTATTTAACCCTATAAAATAATTAAAATAAATAGTCAAAACAAAATAAAAATAATAAAAGGGAAAAACTATTCATCTCCTTCCCCGCACCAAAATAAAAATAATAA